AGTCAAAGCTTTTTTCGAACAAACGCCTGTCATGTTTTCTTTGCTGGGACCGACTAGGGGAAGGGATGCAGGACCAGTCATTTTTTTGGACCAGGCATAATCAAAAAAAAAAAAAAAAATATCCTACTACCAGATATTTCAATCACTGGTGTTGCAGGAGTTTAGATTTTTTATGGCAGCCAAATCGACCAGTACCGCACCTTTGTAACCGTTATGCTTGACCGCTTTTAACTTCATTATATAATCCAGTGGTAAGTGATGCTCTACGGCACCAGACACAATAACCTGTTTATAATGTGGAGAAGGTGATCCTGGTTGACGAGCTGGGTTTGAATACTGGTAAGTTCGACAACGAACTGTCGCATTTCCAGCTTTAACATCCACTGAAAAAATCGAAGTTATTTCAAAATAAAGAGGGCTTTTGCAAACTGCACATCAAATGTATCAGAAAAAGGAACCGTGGTAAAGAGAATTTTTGAAGCTAATTCTGGATTTATGATAAAGCTACTGTTTCTAACACTGTCTAAAGCATATCCACTCGTCCTTTCTGAAATCTAGAAAAGTAGGCCTTCGAAACATGGTTTCTTAAAATAGAAGTCACTGCAGTATTTCTCGCACCATTAATACTCCCGGTCATCTTGGTAGTAAGATTCAACAATGCCACTCACATTTGCTATGATAAAACTACAGACTGTCAAAGTAAAATATGGGCATGAGAAGATGATAGCACCAGCCACATGATCTACCTATATAAAGCAAAATCGGTCGATATTAATGGGGCACTAGTACAGCTTTGATGCTGTCAGTTGCGCACCAGCGTCGCACAGAAATCGTCAAGGCAAGGGCGCATGAGCGCGAAGAACACAACCAACATCCCCTACATTGGATCAGATGTTCTGCGTTTATATCGAGTGGTATGTGAGAAATACAAGGGGTCTTGTACCATATTGAGTCTTTTTTTCGGTTGAATAAAGATTTGCTGGCTATCCAACAATGTACAATTTTATAATTATGCAGAAAATGAACGCGACATACCAATCAGCCGATGATAGCCCCCTTCCTGTAAATCTAATTCATCAGAGAATGACCATGGCACGCGCCAAATGCATCCCCACACTTCATCGTCTTCTGACTGCTCAATTGATGCTACCGCGCCTTTCCACCGTCGTCCGTAGTCAAAAAACTCTAAACGATAACCTGGCAGCAATCCGATCTTCTCAAAAGTGGCATTTTTAATCTGAAAAAACAGAATCAAGAAAAAACAGTGGATTAAAATCATCACAACTGCCAAGAAAACAGACAGGCCAACACGCTGGAACCAGGCTAGCTATGCCAGTATCTCCGGTCCTTAGCTGCATGCCTCCAATGTGCACTCACCAAGCCTTATTACTCATGCGTAGCCTCCGAAAAAGGTTGGTTAAAAATAAAAAAAAAACCTGCACATGCATCCTTTCGTCCAATAAGTTACTGCCATATGCAAAATAATAGAACCAGTCATCATTACAGCGTAATTCCTGCGGTGCCATCGTCGTATCTGAATGAAATCGAAGCTTCACATGATTCCGGATTTTCGTATTTTCATGGAACATATCTCACAGTATCAGCCCCCTCACTGCAAACTGATGCCGCATTTCAATGTTCCCTTGTTCCCTCCCTACCTATTTTCACGTGACTGTGAGGTCAGAATACGTTGCGCATGATATCCTGTCCTGGCAACGCCCCCATCGCACTTCTATACAGCTAAGACCAAAACTGCAGCACCTAACGGTCAGTGAGCTGTAGTTCGTCCTCTGTCCACTTTTTCGTCCATTCCGAAAGACAGCTGCATTTGCAGTATTCCTCTGTCAATTGTTTGTCCCTTCCGCGAGATGCATCGAGAATCCCTCGAAGAACTGGAACCCCGTACAAAAATACCCGAAGCCGAAGCAACTATCTCTCAGGTTCCCACAAAGCGCTAGAAGAAACCACAATTATGTTAAGTGATCAACAATTCATTTACCTTTGCAGCAGACCTTCGCAGATAACGCGCACAACAG